AGCCTGAACATGCTGATCGGAGAATTCAAATCAACCAGAATAATAAAAATAATATGTGTAATATCAGATGCTCGGGCATCTGCTTAGGATGCCTCCTGGATGTCTCCCTGGTGAGGTGTTCCAGGCATGTCCCACCGGGAGGAGGCCCAGGGCACATTGGAGGGACTATGTTCCTCTGCTGGCTTGGGAGCGCCTTGGGATTCCACTGGAGGAGCTGGCCCAAGTGGCTGGGGAGAGGGGCGTCTGGGCCTCCCTACTGAAGCTGCTACCCCCGCGAACCGACCCCGGATAAGCGGAAGAAGATGGATGGATGGATGGATGGATGGATGGATGGATGGATGGATGGATGGATGGATGGATGGATGGATGGATGGATGGATGGATGGATGGATGGATGGATGGATGGATGGATGGATGGATGTGTAATATTTTTGCAGTGGTGACAAAAAAAAAACTGCCAGTGATCCCAATATAAACAATAAATGTGTGAATATAATTTTTAGTGCCCTTAAGTTAATATTTTGTTGAACAAACTTTTGAGGCAATCACTGGAATCAAACTATTCCTCTAACTGAGACTTCTGCTCCTCAAAGTAGGTATTTTGTTCCGCTCAGTGTTTCGAGACAGCCTTTTTCAGGTCCTTCCAATCCTGCCCAACAGGATTTAGGTCCCGGCTCATAGAATGGACTTCAGAATAGTCCAATGTTTTCCTCTTAGTCATTCCTGAATGTTTTCAGCTGCGTGGGTTCCTGTACTCGGAGGTGAAATGGTGTAATCTTGGAGAAAGCTGTAAGCTCAGATCTTGGCAGAGTGGACCATAAATCTGTTCAATTGGGTTTTGCCATGATGAGACTCCAGCAAAAACTCTGAAGGTTGGCAGAAAGAGTTAACAGCCTGCCTGACCCAAACAATCTGTCTCTATTTTGAAATTCGACTCCCCACTGGAGAGGCCTTTATCCACTCAACTCTCCCAAGATGATATGTTAATATGTGGCTCTACACCTTGCTCCCTCCCTCCCCTGAAGACATCTGTTAGCTGCCCTATTGGTCAGCTGAAAAATGTCAAGAGCATTTAACCATGGCACCATGGGAACTACTTTGCACACAAACTGCACCTCTCATCATCGTCAACACTCATCCTGTGTCAAACGGGACCAAATGGACCCTTTATTCAAGGTGAGACAGCCAGTAGGAAAGTTTAAAACTTTAATAAAAACAAAAACATAAACAGACAGAACAGAAGCGAGCTGCTAAGGATCTGTGGACCTGTGTGTGAACAGAACATGATTATCAGAGTGAGTCACTTACCTGGTTTAACAGTTCAGTCCACCCTCTGAAAGATAGGCAGGATCAGCCGATGTAGTGCCCACGAGATGCAACCCTGAGCCATCCAGACTGTCCCCGATGTAGCAACCCCAGTGAGCAGGCAGAGAAAAAATCCATCCAGGACTGGGATTCAGATCAGACTGAAGTACAGGTGCTGGTCATAAAATTAGAATATCATGAAAAAGTAGATTGATTTCAGTAATTCCATTTAAAAAGTGAAACTTGTATATTATATTCATACATTACATACAAACTCATATATTTCAGATGTTTATTTTGTTTAATTTTGATGATTACAAATGACAACAAATGAAAATCTCAAATTCATCATATCAGAAAATTAGAATATTGTGAAAAGGTTCAAAATTGATGGCCCCTGGTGCCACACTCTAATCAGCTAATTAACTCAAACCACCTGCAAAAGCCTTTAAATGGTCTTTCAGTCTAGTTCTATAGGCTACACAATCATGGGGAAGACTGCTGACTTGACAGTTGTCCAAAAGACGACCATCGACACCTTGCACAAGGAGGGCAAGACACAAAAGGTCATCGCTAAAGAGGCTGGCTGTTCACAGAGCTCAGTGTCCAAGCACATTAATAGAGAGGCGAAGGGAAGGAAAAGATGTGGTCGAAAAAAGTGTACAAGCAAGAGAGATAACCGCACCCTGGAGAGGATTGTGAAACAAAACCCATTCAAAAATGTGGGGGAGATTCACAAAGAGTGGACTGCAGCTGGAGTGAGTGCTTCAAGAACCACCACACACAGACGTATGAAAGACATGGGTTTCTGCTGTCGCATTCCTTGTGTCAAGCCACTCTTGAACCACAGACAGCGTCAGAAGCGTCTTGCCTGGGCTAAAGAGAAACAGGACTGGACTGCTGGTGAGTGGTCCAAAGTCATGTTCTCTGATGAAAGTAAATTTTGCATTTCCTTTGGAAATCAAGGTCCCAGAGTCTGGAGGAAAAGAAGAGAGGCACTTCATCCACGTTGCTTGAAGTCCAGTGTAAAGTTTCCACAGTCAGTGATGGTTTGGGGTGCCATGTCATCTGCTGGTGTTGGTCCATTGTGTTTTCTGAGGTCCAGGGTCAACGCAGCCACATACCAGGAAGTTTTAGAGCACTTCATGCTTCCTGCAGCTGACCAACTTTTTGGAGATGCAGATTTCATTTTCCAACAGGACTTGGCACCTGCACACAGTGCCAAAGCTACCAGTACCTGGTTGAAGGACCATGGTATCCCTGTTCTTAATTGGCCAGCAAACTCTCCTGACCTTAACCCCATAGAAAATCTATGGGGTATTGTGAAGAAGAAGATGCAATACACCAGACCCAACAATTCAGAAGAGCTAAAAGCCACTATTAGAGCAACCTGGGCTATCATAACACCTGAGCAGTGCCACAGACTGATCGACTCCATGCCACGCCGCATTGCTGCAGTAATACAGGCCAAAGGAGGCCCAACTAAATACTGAGTGCTGTACATGCTCATACTTTTCATGTTCATACTTTTCAGTTGGCCAACATTTCTATAAATCCTTTGTTTTTATTGGTCTTCAGTAATATTCTAATTTTCTGATATGATGAATTTGAGATTTTCATTTGTTGTCATTTGTAATCATCAAAATTAAACAAAATAAACATCTGAAATATATGAGTTTGTATGTAATGTATGAATATAATATACAAGTTTCACTTTTTAAATGGAATTACTGAAATCAATCTACTTTTTCATGATATTCTAATTTTATGACCAGCACCTGTAGTACTGGAGAGCAGGAGTCCGCAGTCCGGTCAGGGGTTCCGATCCACTCGGGAACAGACAGATCCGGGTTCCAGGAATCCATCAGCGAATGAAGCCAGGTTCAGAGTAGACAGTCAATTCCAAAAATGTAATTAAATATGTACTGTCAAAGTACATTGACTATTTTTGAGTTATTATAACAACAACTGGAGTAAAATATACACTACATAGAGTTCTAATTTAACACCAATTCCGAGTGGGACCAAATGCACCCTTAAAGTGTTACTTCAACACTGCAAAATTTACTGTTAACTGTGCGTCGACAGAAACACACGTGGAAGGCAGAATCCAGGAGGAGTCTAACCGTGGCGAACAAATCAGGCAAGGACAGACGGGGCCAGTTGGTGAGAGGGAACAGAATCAGGTAAACAGGACCCCTAGGGAAACACTGAAACACTCTCACCACTGGTTACAGAATGACTTGCCTGAGGACATTGGCTTGAGAATAAAATCCCCACTGGAACATGAACCTTGGAAATAACAAAAAATAACAAAAACAATCAATCAATCAATCAAATTTATTTGTTTAGCCCTTTACAATAGCCAAATGGTACCCAAAGTGCTTTACAACAAAGCCATAAAATACGTAACAATACGTAACACATACAAAACATACAGGTACAATTAAAAGTGCTGTAGTGGTGCAGTGCTGCAGGACATGAAAACCTTCCAGAGGTGCATAGAAACAACAAAGCAACAGGCAGGACACTAACAGAAGGCAAACAGGGAAGAAATCGAAATCAAACAATGATCTGGCCCAGATAGCTGGGCTGGACCGGTACATTGACTGGTGAATGAGATCAGAGATGATAAGGAACTGGGCAGAACTAGGCAGGTGAGTGAAATTAGCAATTTAGGCCAGCTTTCAGAGCAGATCATGACATCCTGCCTGCTTGTCTGTGTTGGCTTATGTAATTGTTTTTTTTTTTTTCAGTCTCAAACTATCCTACTAAGGATAAGGTATTAAATGATGGTGAAAATTCTTAGTAATCCAGGTCATAGTCATTCCAAAAAAAAAGAAACTACTGGACTTTTTTCAAGTTTGAAGACGTATCGCTTTTTGAATTAAAAATGTCTGGATTAGCAGCTACTCTATAAAACTTAAGCTTTATAGACTAGCCCAACAAAGTCTCGTTATGTCTTATAAACATGCAAACTGAACCAGAAGAACAGGTCCCCCCTTTAGTACGACGCCCCATTACTCCCCATTACAAGGCTTATTTAGACTATATAACTATTATTTACTAATTGTCATATTATTTCTAGTTAGATACAATAGTAAAACATATTTGGAATAATATTTAATGGTTATTTCATAGTTGTTTTTTTATTTTTTTGTTTAACTTCCAATACTGGAATGTAAAAATATACAGTCTTAATTGATTTTATTCCTAAATAGCTATAAATGTATAAAACCACGATCAAAACTTCATTGGATTTAAATGTAATTAGTTTTTTTTAGATTAGTCAAGTAATTTCCTAGTCTCAAGGATTTAAATATTGACACATTTTTTATGAGAGAGAGAAACATGTTTTTAACAAAACAGAAAACACCCATTGATTTTCAACATTCTTGTGTGACCTTAAAGCTGGTTATGCAGGAATGTATTTTATCGTGTTTATCTGGTTTCTATCTGGAACCGAGTAATTACTTGGTAATATAGGACCTGTGATTGATAAATACTTCATCACATCATAGCCTTACTTCCATCAGCCTTTACTGAGATTTTTCTTTTTCTACAAATTAATTCTGACAAAAGCATCCAATTGTATATAGATGCAACATAAAATTTGAGGTGCTGGAATGTAGCAGAGCAGGTTGTTTGTGGTTGTGATATAACATTGTAAGTAGACTACTTAAACCAGAGCCAGTGGGCTGGTGGTACAAGACCACAATGGCCTTCAAGCTGATCTGTGTGGTGGCTGTGCTAGCTTTGGTGACAAAAGGTAAGAATCCTTGCAGATAATAATTAATAATCTAAGCTGTTTCTTACAACCGTCTTCTGTTATGTTTGAAAGTGAATTAAGTTTCTGAATTTATTAGGAATTTTGTTCTCTAATGGTTGTTTTTTGAATGTAGGGTAGTTATATTGTATCTTTAATCTGCAACATTAGATAAAGCCTGCTATTCTGGAAGTTGCTTTCGAGAAAAAAATATATTTTTCCTCTGTAGAATATGTATATATATGTCTTTATAGCTTAATATTATTTAACTTTTTTGTGACACTTCAAATAGGTTTATATGCACCCAGAATATCTCTGCATTTCTCTGGCATTGTACCAATGACCAAGGAGTTTTTGTGTCTTTTTGCACATGACTTATAGAAGTTGGTCTACTAAAGAAGATGCAAAACATGCAGCCACAGCTTGGCTTTCAATTTGAAAAAATTTTTTAACAGGATGAAACTGTTAAAATATTTTGATATTTGCATATGCTCCACTGAGGAATTTGTGCAATTTGGTAATTAGAATATGATCTGTGGTAAAGGGTCAAACACTAAAAATGGTTTGCTCATACTGCCTGTTAAAAGGCAATAGCAAATCACTTTGTATCTTCTTTGAAAATCTGCATTGCACTTTGTTTGTGCCTATTTTAAGACAGACAAACCATGTGACAATAATGGCCTTCGTGTTTTTAATACATAAAAATGTTAATTTATTATTATTATTATTTTATTGTTTAAAGATAGAAATAAATATGAGTACTGGCACCTGGGACATGCCCCAAAATTCACTAAGAATGGGAGTTATAGCACTGTTGTTTGGACAAAATGATTAAACTTGATGGAGAAACAATAAAGACATCTATATATTTCTGTGATCTTTTGTATGTAACATGATTCAGTAGTTCATTGAGGTCATTCTGGTTAGTTCAACTAACATTTCTCTTCAATGGTAATTGTATTATTTATGCTGCTCCCTCATATGTTGTCTGTCAAAGCAACTTTAACTCAGACTAATTTAACTTGTCATTACCATAGTCAGTACAAAAGTTAAACATGATTTCCTTTACTTTTTAATAGTTTAAAAACTGTATTTAAAATGTGTAACAGCTTTTAGAGTCCACAGCAACATTTTTGCCCTGAAGAAGCTTTTTATGCAATGAGAGGCAAAACTTCAGTTCTTCACATATTATATCTAATTTATTATTAGTTTTTGTTTTGGTTGATTTATTGACTTGATATTTTTATTAAACTGTTATACATAAAGGTGGTCTAAGATTTTTTTATAAGCTAAATTAAGAACTGAATCAGACACTTTTAAAACGGATAACACCTAAGATGCTGGAGTTAGACAACAACTAGCTGATTAACACAATTATTTTTTCATGTGACTAAATTAAATATAACTGCTGACTTCTTTTGGTATGGAGTAGTAAGCTATGGCTTCACAATGACACAATATCAGTGGTGGATAAAGTACTCCGAAACAGTACTTAAGTACAAGTACAAATAAACAAACAAATTCAGTAAAAGTATCACACTAAAATTTGTACTTAAGTAAAAGTACTTGCTTTTTAAAATACCCTGAAGTAAAAGTACTTTCTGAATTAACTGCAATGTTTCACCACAATTATCAAATTAACCTACTATCAGAGGTGGAAAGAGTACTAAAAAATTGTAATTGAGTAAAAGTATCTTTACTTTGCCTAAATTCTAGTGAGAGTAAAAGTAAAATTACCCATCTCAAAATTTACTCAAGTAAAAGTACAAAATTACTTCATTTAAAATGTAATTTGAGTAAAAGTTACTTAGTTACTTTGAGTTATTTAATGCAAAAAAGGATGAGTCATGAATCGAATTGAGCACAAGGTTTTAATCAATTTCAAGGCGTATTTTAGTGGACATCCACACTTGCAAAAGATCAGCTGGGCTAAGGAACATACTTCCTCACAGCACAAGGACAGTCACAACCTGTACCATAAAGTGCAAACTATTTTCAATCCTACTGTCCAACAATAAAGAAATTTAAACTACATTTTAAAGTATTCAAAATGCACTCAAAATTAATTGCCCAAAAGATACCAGAAATCAAACTAAAATGCAACAGGATCCCACTGTTATTAAATAAAATGCCACAGGATCCCACTGTTCACAATAAAACAAAATTCTCACAGGATCCACCAATTTAAAAGATGGTGCTCACAGGATCTAACTTCAAAATACAGTGTAAACAGAAACCCGTAAAACTGCCCCAAATCTACAACTTTAGACCAGTAAAGCTCTTGTTCAATTTCAGCAGTAGCTGATTTTCAAAGTTTTTTGCTGTAAGTTTTGCTCTCTTTGCTGTGAAGAGCAACCCGGCTGAACTAAAAAGCCTCTCACAGGCAGCTGAGGCTGGCAGGCCTGTGTTGAGTTTCAGAGACAGCTTCTTAATGTTTGGGAAGGAGTTCAACAGGTTAATGCTGAACCTGAAGTTCAAAGAACACCAGAGAGAGATGGGTGGGGGAACTGGATGAGTGCGAGCAGGAGGAACTTCAGGAACTTAAGGTCTATGATGAAACCATCAGAACATTCTATTTTATTTATCGCCACATTAAGAAAACATCAATACCTGTAATGCTTGCATTCCCAACTCAGTCATACCTATGATACTCCGAACTAGCTAATTCTAAGCAACTGCTAACAAGCCAAGAGCTTGCTTATACATAAATAATAAATAAACAGTTTGGGATGTCGGAGACAAAAACACATGCGCTAACTTACTGCCACATGTTTTCATAAATTGATGTTGATGTTTTAAAAGCCGAAAGCTCAGTTTTGCTGGCCAGGCACATGTTACTGCATGTCACTGCATTATCACATTGTTCCCTTTTGTGCATTTGAACACAAATAATCCGTCCAGATATGGCCAAGGGTTTTTCTGGCTTTCGTCTCCAGAATGTGTTTCCTCATCCATACTCTCTACGTCGTGATTAGCAACTGCCATCTTCCAAAGCGCAGCACTGGATTATGAGACAATACAAAGGGTAATTGCAAGACAGGGTCGTGCATTAAGTTTCGGTTCCGTGACACAGGGGTTTAAATTTCCGGCCGCATTTAATTTTTTTACCAGTATTTCTTTTTTTACTCAGTAACGTGAGGGTGTTTTAAATGTAGGGAAGTAAAACTACTTAGGTTAAAATTTAGTTGAATAAAAGTAAAATTACATATTTCAAAAACTACTCAGACAATTACAAATTACTCATAAAAAGTACTTAATTACAGTAACGTGAGTAAATGTAATTCGTTACTTTCCACCCCTGCCTATTATATGTATATTTTCTTTAATAGATCAATAATGTTATTTTAATGAACAATGCTTTGGATAATGCATGTTTTGTTTTTACCTTGTGTCAAAGTTCACACTTTGGACATGTAATTATGGAATTTCGAGGATGATCTGCCAAGTAAACTATTAAGTTCAAGAAAGACGACTGATTACATACCTTTTATTTGAAATGACTGTGCAGTAAAATCAAGCACCTAAAGAAATATAACAGTTCCTGTTATTTACGCTATGGTCAGGAAGAACAGTAGCTGATCGCTTTCCTGTGATTCAGCATGAAAGAGTAGAATATCAATTATATTTGGAATACAAAAACATGATTTGAAACTCCCTACATATTTTAGAAATACTTAATTACAAAATTTTTTAATAATTTGCACGAATAGTTAAAAAAATACAATGCAATGGATGGTTTGCAACCATATCTCACTAAAAACTCAATTAATCATCCTTTTTAAGGCAGATATACTAAGCAAACAGAGAATCTGTTCATCTTCATACAAACCTTTTATTTTTAGAACATTTTTAACAAGAATCTTAATAATTGCAATTCACTGGCAGGTGATTTTGCTTATTTGAATTCTTGCAAATTAATAATCTATTCATTTATTTTTCTGCTCAGAACATCTGACTCAAAATATGATCAAAGATAAATATACGTCTGCTTAGTCTGACTGTTTTTGCTGTGTATAGTAATTAAAGAAGCTGAACAGGGCTATTATCTAGCATCACATCATCAATTCTCTGTGCTAATTGGCAAACGGGAAACGTTTTTAGAAAATAGGGAGTTCAAAAAATTATCCTGTGTGGATTAAATGTACATTCAGGATTATATATGATATTTATGTCTTTTTATCCAATCCAGGGGACAACATGTTGCAACACATGTGGGATTTATTTACAATGATGGAAACTGAAAGAGTTCCTTTCTCCATTTTTCCCCTATGTTACTGGAGAAGCACCATACTATATCCAGCGGCTGGAGCTGTGCACAGAAATGCTAGATTTGTAGCATTTTGTTCACAGGCTGTTTAAAGAGAATGAAAAGGATCGTGGAGGTCCAAGGTTGACCTGGATGGACCATCATATAACATCTGTTGTAACAGGACAAAATCTAACGAAACTTTTTTGCCATGCACAGATAGGAACACAACTAAAAATAGGAAGCCTTATGCTTTTTCTTTTGTTAAACTGATTAATTATAAGTAAGAAAATATATTTTTGTATGTGTACTGCCCATTGTATCAACCCGTTTAAGATTGTACCCTTAAATCAGAAGTTATGTTAATTGTAATTTAAGAATAAATATATATTTTTTATTTTCAGAGTGTGACTCGCAGCTCTCTGGTAAGTCACACCCTCTCTGCCATCAGAAAGATAAACCAGATTTTCTGTTATTACTGTTTTGTGGTATATAGAGCAATCCAGGACATTGTCCCATTATTTCTTTTATTTCTTTTGTTTCTTTTTTTGCGTTAGTGTGTGGTCGACCATCACTAAACACCAGGATTGTCGGAGGAGAGGCAGCCCCTCCAGGCAGCTGGCCCTGGCAGGTCAGTCTGCACATCTCTAAACATTTCTGTGGAGGATCTCTAATCAACGACCAGTGGGTTCTGACTGCTGCTCACTGTGTTGAAAGGTAAGAAACAAGACAACAGAAAAGACTAAACCTCAGAGCCAAACACTAGGTCAGTATTAAAAATGCTGGTGTAGCAATGCAATGGATATATATATATATATATATATATATATATATATATATATATATATATATATATATATATACCAAATGTTAAGTTTAACAAAAAGGAAACTTTGCCACTGTAACTGCTTCATTTCAGCAACAAACCAAAAACAATAAAAAAATATACAGTGGATAAAAAAAAGCTGACAAAATTTAGAAAAACGTTAGACTTTAGATACCTGTATGTTAATTAGAGTAACTATCTAATGTTTTTTTTTTATTTTGTATCTCCTGTTTATCAGAAAGGACTCCCTCCAGCAAAATTAGTCTGTTAGAAATAACCTTATGCAGACATCAATTATCTATTTCAAGGCATAGGTCTTTGTCATTTCCTGATATTTTAAACATGTTATCCTTATTTTTTTATTTTTCTACAGTTCTAAAAGCTTCTGGAATTCATCAGACAAAGTGTCAGCATATCTTGGTCGCCAGAGTCAGGAAGAATCTAACCCAAATGAAGTCAATCGGACAGCGTCACATATCACTATTCACCCTGACTACAATTCTTCAACTCTAGACAATGACATTGCTCTTATAAGGCTTTCTAAACCAGTGAATTTCACCAGCTACATCTCACCAGTCTGTCTAGCTGCCTCAGACAGCACCTTCTACAGCGGGGTTGAGTCCTGGGTAACCGGCTGGGGAAACATTGGATATATTGGTGAGTATGACACAACTAACTTAATTCTAAGATCAAAGAAGGCATCGACGCAGTGCTGACATTAGTGTTCTTGATTTAAATCATCACAAAACTGCATAATCTCTTGTCATTACAAAACTACTGAGGGTTCCATGATTTTGTCACACACTACTTTTGATTTCTTAATTTCATCTAGATCCCCTTCCATCCCCTGGAAACCTTTTGGAAGTGGAGGCTCAGATTGTGGGAAATGGTCAATGCAGGTGTGACTATAGTGACCTAGGTTATATAAGTATTACAGACAACATGATATGTGCTGGGTTTCAAGAAGGAGGGAAGGGACCCTGTTTTGTAAGTCTTAACTATTTTCTATTATTTTTTTATTTACTGCTCTTATTCCTTCTTCTGACCTGCTGTAAACAATTTGTTTGTGCTCTTAAAGGGAGATTCTGGAGGTCCACTGGTTAGTAAGCAGGGTGATCGCTGGATTCAGGCTGGAGTTGTGAGTTTCGGTGTTGGTTGTGCTAAGCCATTTTTCCCAGCAGTCTATGCAAGAGTGTCCCAGTACAATGAGTGGATAAACAGCCACATCACCAGAAACCAGCCGGGCTTTATCACCTTTACATCCAACGGGAGTGAAAGTGATTTCAATATTTCCTGTACAAAACCAACCTTTGACCCAGTGATAGTAAACATATCTGAAGGTACGAAAAAACACAATCTCATAAGCCCCCTTTCCACTGGCTTGACTTGGCCTTAATCAACTCAACTCCAGCAATTATTAAATGTTACTGTTGCTGCTTTTTCCGTACCGCTGAATGCTTTATTCAGCCCTGCTCATAACTGGATAAAAAAGCTAATTGATAGGTTTTAACCAGGCTAAAACGAGTCAGTAGAAAAGGGGCAATTGTAAACAACTTAATAGTTTCACACAAGAAGTTTTGCATTCATGATAATAAAGGATTCCAGTTTAGCATACTGGTCTTACATCAGTTTTACTGATTTAAAATCAGTTGTTTAATCTAATTTTTCTCAGTGTGCAGCTCCTCCAGGCAGCTGGCCTTGGCAGGTCAGTCTGCACATCTTCGACCACTTCTGTGGAGGATCTCTGGTTACTGACCAGTGGGTGCTGACTGCTGCTCATTGTGTCCAAGGGTAAGCAAAAGCACAAGAGTCAAACACCTCACTTTCATAGCTGACTGGTTTGAAAAGTAGTGGGCTTTATCTTACCTTGTGAAAAAGATCACCATTTCACATGCATTTTGAAATTTTGAAAAAACGATGAGAAAAAGCAGAGAGAGCTTAACAATGGAGATTAAACTAATGCGTACTGCAGAATAGAGATAGAATGGAGCATGCTGATGAAAAGGTGTCCCTATGTCCTCCAGCAGTCTAAGCCTATAGCAGCACAAATGCAGAAAATGTCTAAGGATAATATTTTTGATGAGATATAAGAAAGATAGAGGGGACAATGTAGAGCCAAGGAAATCTGTGTAAAACTGTGTAACAGGTTTGCTTCATCTGGATTCATACACAGATATAGCTTTTTATCATTGGCATAACAGTGGAAAATAATCCCATGCTGTCTAATAATTCTACCAATTAGGAGCATATATACTGTAAAGAGAATTGGGCCTAGGACTGATCCCTCTGGTACTCCAAAGATAACAGTGGAGCATTAGGTAGATTTATCATTAACGTGAAAAAACTGAAATCTGTAAGATAAATAAGATTCAAACCAGCCTAAAGCTGTCCCTTTAATTTCTACAAAATATCTAAATCTTAGATAGATAGATAGATAGATAGATAGATAGATAGATAGATAGATAGATAGATAGATAGATAGATAGATAGATAGATAGATAGATAGATAGATAGATAGATAGATAGATAGATAGATAGATAGATAGATAGATAGATAGATAGATAGATAGATAGATAGATAGATAGATAGATAGATAGATAGATAGATAGATAGATAGATAGATAGATAGATAGATAGATTAGACTTATGCTCTTATCGTTTCTGTTCTGTTTCTGATGTAAACGGAATACAGTTGTCTGAAATGTTTATCTGAGCAAATTTATGTCCTTTGATGAACTAAAGTGTTTCTTTTGGGAAGATCCAATGTTCGTGTGTGTGTGTATGCTGTGGATTCTTTTTCAATATAGGGGTGTGTTTCTGAATGCTTCAGAATCGCACTCAGCTGTATTCAGCTGGTTTGTGCCATTCTCCTCTGCAGAGTAAAATAAAACCTTTCTTCCTTGCATATCAACTCTCAGTGCTCATTTTTTACTCCACAATAGATAGATAGATAGATAGATAGATAGACAGACAGACAGACAGACAGACAGACAGACTTGCAGGGCAGCCTAAAGCCCACTACTCTCATTAAGACAGAAAAAAGAAAGAAAACAAAAACCAGTCAGTTCAGATGTTTTGAAATATATGTTAATCAGGAAATTATGTATATACCAAACTGAAAGTTTGTTGTTCTCTACTTCAAAAAACACTTTAGATTTTTAAATCGCAAATTTTTTTTCTTTTTTTACAAATATTTTTTAATTTAAAAATTCAATGTATAACATGAATGCATAAACACCTCATTTTATTTCAGTGTTAAATTCTGTTTGATGTAACAGATCATTAAAGTGTCTCCGGACCTTTATTGTTTGATGATTTTCTTTATTCAGACCCCAGTGATTTTTAATTGGTTACCCCTAGTTTAATGTTTATAAATATTTATTTCACGTCATGTGCGCCATCCAATGCATATCATTGGCTCCATCCACATCTAGTGAAAACTAGTGTAATTGGATGAGTAATATGACACAAACACTCATTGGTTAGCTAAAGGAAATCATCAGAAGCAAGCAGGTGTTCTTCAAACTGCAAACATGAATTGTCTATGCCATGCTACAATGTAGGATTCTGTCATGATGGGATTAAGTTTCCTAACCCACATGCAGAACACAACGGAGACTGATGAAAAGTTTGACTGTTTATTAAATAAAAGACAAAGTTAAAGCACTGATGCTGGGAAACAGATTCGGGACTGGTCACACCAAGGGCGTAGGTTTGATTTGAACTTTGGTAGGGACACTATTGGTCTGGTGTCATTGGTGCTATGCAATATGCATGCCCTTTTTTATGCTCGATGTGAGCATCCGTACTGATAAGAGGAATTCATTGTTAAAAGAGAAAAGCATCCTTTTGCTACATTAATAAAAACTGTATAAGCACTACACTCATTAGATGCTGTTTATCAATGTTTGAAGTATCACCGGCTGATCAATGTGGAATTAGGACTTTTTTCCACTTTGAAAATCTTTTCATTTGAACGACTAAGAGAGAAGGTAAATACAGGATTTTCCTTTGAAGATATAGAATTGTGCAGAGTTAAACCCCACTCTTATACAGTATTTTACCTGCTATTCTCTCTCTGTATCAAGCAAAATAATACATTCATTAAAATACTAACTTCACTATAAAAGTTGAACATCTGGGCTGTAGTCACTCTGTGTAGCCCATTTCAGGTATTTTATCCTGGGCTGAAAAAATTAAATATATTAATTGATTATTTCAATAATCGTCAACTAATTTAGTATGTAATTTATTTCATTAACTGGAGTATAGAGACTTTAAAACATACAGTAATATAAATGTAAAATGTGCCTTTCCCCACAGAGCAACCCACTTAGATCAGCAATTATACCAAAATTGTAAAAATACAATATATATATATATATGTATGTATATATATATATATATATATATATATATATATATATATATATATATATATATATATATATATATATATATATATATATATATATATATATATATATATATATATATATATATATATGTGTGTATATATATGTATGTATATGATTTAAAGCCGTAGAATGAGTGTATTCAAATATAAAATCACTTTTAACAATCATAAAAGACAATATAACACTATCTTATCTGTAATTTAATAATATACAAATTAAACAGCCAGATTTAAGCATTTTTACCAGACATTAATGTTTGTACTAATTCACTTATAGAATGTGTGGAAATCTATGTAAGATGAAATCAATATGAATATTCTTCCTCTGTTTGTTCTTGTCTATATCCTATTTCTAGAAGTATAAATAGTCAATTAAATTACTATTATTATGTGGAACCCTAATTATGCTTTTTAAACCAAAAATAGCAGATGTAGAGGCACCATTTCTTGTTGTTATACTCTATAAGAGAAATAACACCTGCTAATAATTATATCTGAACTTCCTCAAATAGTTATCAAAAATGAAAACAGTAATAGCAACTAGATATAGGCAAAAAGGAAACCCTCACATTTTCTTTTTTAGTTGGCTGTTGCTAAGAATCAGAGATGTTGATGGCTTACAGCCTTTATTTGCCCATTTTTCCAGCAGTCTTCAGAACTCCTGGCTGACTCAGAATATTTCGTTTTATAACAGAAAAAGAAAGGTTTTTGTTTTTTAGTGTACATGATATTCCTTTTTTTTTTTTTAAATCGGGACTTGTTTTGTAGCCTAATATTAATTGTACTAACCGCGGCATTCTAGTGTGAATAAATTTTCAATTTTGTGCTCCAAGCACACGCAGACTAGAAAACAGCCAATCAGAGAGAGAGAAGGCGGAACTTAAGGCAGAACAACCAATGAGAGTTGAGTTAAACAGCGCAGCACAGTTCCATGCGCTGCTGCGTGAAAGGGACAGTAGAGACCAGGCGGAGGAGCTGCGAGAGGAAAAGAAGCCACTGCTGCAACAACTACTGCTGGAAATTATAAACATGTTGCTCACATCCAATTATTGGTAGGGACAATTAGGTCGGTTCAAAATTTTGGTAGGGACATGTCCCTATGGTCCCTATGCAAACATACGCCCATGGGTCACACAGGGTTCTCTGCAGAGGGGGACAGTTTGGTTAGCCAGGATGCAGTTGATCTGGTCAGAGGAATTGTGCAGGTCTGTACCTGTGATGTGATTCAGGCTGAGCAACAGAGGGAGGGAACCAGGAGGGTCAAGAGGCAGGTGGTTGGCAGAGGGCTAAGCAACAACAGGGCTCGAGTTCAGACTTGTAAGTGTCCAGGTCCAGGGTTTTCTTCCAGTTCTCTTCTTGAGAGCGGGCAGGCAGGTTCAGACAGTTTGATTGTTCAGATGTGCTTCTGAGAGCAGGCAGGCAGGTTCCAGCTGAGAAACTCTTCCTGAGTTCCAGGGTTCAGTCAGGTTTCTTCCATAACTGGCTTAACACTCTGGCGCTGGAGTGAAGTCCTGCCGCTGCTTATATGCTGGTCTCCTGATGACTTGATGAGCCGCTGGTGTGATCGTCAGCTCAGCTCCAGGAGACCTAGGGCGCCCTCTGCTGGAGAAAGGTGGACAGACCCCCAGATCCCAACAGATTCAGAAAAAGATGTTGAAATGTCTGAAAGGTCCGACACAGGCGAGGGTGTATCTGGAGATGGAGACGGAGACCAACAAGTCCCCCAATTTTGTTTTTTGCATATTTTATTACGTACATAGGATGTTCATTTCCTCAGTGTCAGTTTTTACACATGTGTTTCCTAAGGTCTGTCTATATATATATATATATATATATATATATATATATATATATATATATATATATATATATATATATATATATATATATATATATATATATATTAGGGGTGGGTATTGGCAAAGAAGTCATGATTCGATTCGAATCACGATTCACATGCCACGATGCGATTCTATCACGATGCATCATGATACTTGAA